GGCATGTGTGGGGAGTAACCAATCCTTATGTCTCTCTCACATCAATGTTTCTCTCTCTCTGTCTCTCCCCATCCCTTCCACTCTCTCTAAAAAAATCAATGGAAAAAATGCCCTTGGTAAAGATTAACAAAAAAGAAAGAAGAACCAGAAAATCTGAACGTGCCTATTAATGATAACTACTAATGAAAATAAATTAACAATTAACTCCCAAAAAACAAAAATTCTGGACTAGATGGCTTCACATGTGAATTTTACACAAACTATTTCAAAAATCTGAAGAGACAGGATCATTTTATGAGGCCAGCATTGCCTTGATTGCAAAACTAAATGAAAATTACACATAAAAAAGAAAATTATAGGTCAATATCACTGATGAGTACAAATTCAAAAATCCTCAACAAAATATTAGCAAGTCAGATTCAGCAATACTTTTAAAAAATCATACACTATGATCAAGTGGGATTTGTTCCTAGGATGCAAGGCTGGTTCATTATCCATGAGTCACTTAACATGATATACTACATAAACAAAATGGAGGGTAAAATTCATTCATCATATCAACAGATGTAGAAAAGCATTTGATAAAGCCATCATCCATGTATAATAAAAATTCTAAGAAAAGTGGGGACAGGAGAAACATACCTCAACATAATAAAGGCCATATATGGCAAAACCTAACCACCTACCCAATAGTGAAAAACTAAAATCGTTCTTCTTAAGATCAGAAACAAGACAAAGATGTTACTTCTATTAAATATAGTATTAGAAGCCCTAGCCATAGTAATCAGATAAGAAAAAGAAATAAAAAGCATCCAAATTGGAAAGGAAGAAGTAAAACTGTCATTATTTGCAGATAACATGATACAATACAGAAACCTAAAAAAAATTATTAAAACTAGTTAATGAATTCAGTAAAACAGCCGGATACAAAACAAATATTCAGAAACTGATTGCATTTTTATACACCAGATAGGGGCTGAATGCACGAATTCGTGCACCTTGAAAGGAACTGTGAGGCTATGACCTATCCTCCACAACCCCACCGGGCCCCTCCTGCCACAGCCTTGTCTGCTGGCAGCCCCACTCCAGCCGCCACTACTCCCACACGCTGATGGCACCAGCCCTGCTCACACCTGCTGACAATGCAGAGTGATTAGGACCGGCACCAGTAGCAGGTTCAAGCGGTGGCTCCAGCACTGGCTGTAGGTGTGAGTGGGGCAAGTGCAAGAGGCAACTGCCCGCCCCAATCGCCCCTCAGGAGCAGGAGGAGGTGCAGAAGCCCTGAGGGGTGTTTGGAGCTGGCAGCCACTGCTTGCACCCACTGACAGTGCTGAGCAATCGTGGCCGGTGCCAGCAGTGTGTGCGAGCAGCTCAGTGGTAGAGCGTCGGTCTGCGGACTGAAGGGTCCCGTGTTCGATTCCGGTCAAGGGCATGTACCTTGGTTGCGGGCACATCTCCAGTAGGGGGTGTACAAGAGGCAGCTGGTCGATGTTCCTCTCTCATCGACGTTTCTAGCTCTCTCTCTCCCTTCCTCTCTGTAAAAAATCAATAAAATATATTTAAAAAAAAAAAAATATATATATATATATATATATATATATATATATATACACACACACACACACACACACACACAATGGGATAAAGACAGACTCTTCAATAAATGGTGTTAAGAATATTGTACAAATGCATTCAAAATACTGAAACTACACCACTTTCTTACAGCATATACAAGAATAACTCAAAATGGACTGAAGACTTAAATGTAAGAACTGAAAACATAAACTCCTAGAAGAAACTATATGCAATAAACTCTCTGACATTTTTCTCAGTAATATTTTTTTAATGTTTCCTCAGGAAAGGGAAACAAAATGAAAATTAAATAAATGGAACTACATCAAACTGAAGAGTCTTTACACAAGGAAGGAAATTATCAACAAAATAAGAACTTACTGAATGAGAGAAGATTATTTGACAATAATAGGAGTTAACATCCAAAATATATAAGGAACTCATATAACTTAATACCAAAAAGAAAAATAATCCCATTAAAAATTTGGCAGAGAACCTGAATAGACAATTCTCCAAAGAGACATATTTAAGAGATATTTTTAAAAATGCTTAATGCCACTAATCATCAGAGAAATACAAATTAAAACCACAATGAGAGCCAAAACCAGTTTGGCTCAGTGGATAGAGCGTCATCCTGCGAACTGCAAGGTCCCAGATTTGATTCCGGTCAAGGGCATGTAACTTGGTTGCGGGCACATCCCCAGTAGAGGTGTGCAGGAGGCAGCTGATTGATGTTTCTAACTCTCTATGCCTCTCTCTTCCTCTCTGTAAAAACTCAATAAAATATATTTTTAAAATAAATAAATAAATAAAACCATAATGAGATATCATCCCACACCTGTGAGAAGGGCTATCATCAAGAAATCAACAACCAGTGTTGGCAAGGATGTGGAGACTGCAAATTTGTGCAAGCACTATGGAAAACAAGGTGGAATAATAGCCAAAAAATTAAAAATAGAACTATCATAAGACCCAACAATCCCACTTCTGGATATTTATACAAAAAAATCCAAAACATTAATTTGAAAATATATATTAATTCCTATGTTCATTGCAGCATTGTTTACAACAACCAAGATATGGAAGCAACCCAAGTGCACATCAATAGACAAATAGGTAAAAAAGCTGTATTACATATATGCAATGGAATATTACTCAGCCATAAAAAAGAAAAACTCTTACCATTTGTGACAGCATGGAAGGTTTTATGCCAAGTGAAATAAGTCAGACAGAAGAGAAAGACAAATACTGCCAAGACCGGTTTGGCTCAATGGATAGAGCGTCGGCTTGGGGACTGAAGGGTCCCAGGTTCGATTCCAGTCAAGGGCATGTACCTTGGTTGCGGGCATATCTCCAGTAGGAGGTGTGCAGGAGGCAGCTGATCGATGACTCTCTCTCATCGGTGTTTCTAACTCTCTATCTCTCTCTCCCTTCCTCTCTGTACAAAATCAATAAATATATATTTAAAAAAAAAAAAAAAAAAGAAGAGAAAGACAAATACCATATAATTTTACCTACATGTGGAATCTAAAAAACAAAATAAATGAACTAATAGAAACAAACTCATTGATACAGAGAACTGATGAAAGAGATGAAGGGATTAAGAAGTACAAATTGGCAGTTACAAATAGTCATGGGGATATAAAGTACAGCATTGGGAATATAGTCAATAATACTCTAATAACTATCTATGGTGTCAGGTGAGTACTAGACTTATCAAGGTAATCACTTTGTTGTTTTATAAATGTCTAACCATTAGTTGTATATCTGAAACTAATATAATATTGAATGTCAACTGTAATTAATTTTTTAAAGTTTTCAAAGATACAAAACAACTTTCTAGAAAAAATACATATAAAATAAAATCTCAAATGTTTTATTAAGGTCAATAATCATAAAATTAGTCTGCAAAATTGTTACACACTTTTCTAAATCTTAGTTTCTTTATCTCAACCCAGCAGTGTAAGAACCACACTTTAAGAAACACAGTTGTAAAATCCTACTACAGTTTGAGAGGCGCTGCTATTAACTCTAAGACAGTGCTTTCTCCTTTGAGGTAGGGACTTTTTGTATGTTTATTTACTCACATATCTTTCCAGATACCTTCCCCCGTTTAGAGTCTGAGCAAACCATTCTAGTCTCCTGCTATCCACAACTGTGAAACTTTGTATCTCCTAGCAATTTCTGTCTCCCTTTGGTTCCAAATACTTCAATTTCTTTTTTTTTTTTAAATCATTGCTTAAAACAAAGTACTCTGTGTCTAGAATTTCAAGGGAGATTGTGTTGAAAGTATCACTGTGCTGCTAAAGGCTTATACAAAGATAAGGAGCACAGTTACTGAAAGGCAGTGCCCGCCTTTCATCTATCCTTTCTGGTTGATATAGGCCTGGAATAGGTGGGTGGGTGCCCAGTGTTCTGCACCCGTAGCCAGCGAAGAGACCAAGGAGTTGCTGTCACCCCAACTCACTGTCCTAGTCCCCAAACCAGAACGGAAATCGCTGTTTCTTCAAAACAAGTGCCCAAAGTAGTAGTCATTTGGCTAGACTTGCTCCTAGGCAACAGCTGTGGATGAAAAACAGGTCTAACAGGGTTAGAAGGGTGGGAACGGAGCAAATGGGGAGTCCAATGCTGATAGAATGGTGATTGATGGTTCCTGTCCTAACTCTGCTAACATAAAAAGATGTTGGTATTGGAAAGACGAGTAAATAAGAACATCAAATCCAATCAACGTTATTTTCCGTAAACTGGTAATAGTGTAGAAATCTGCTCTTCATTAAAATAAGAACAAAGGAGTACCTGTCTATTGGCTGCTTTACTAAGGATTTACTGACAGCTAATGACTTGGTAGGTTTCTCAAACCGGAAAGATTATTTTTATGAACTCTCAAAAACAGAAACGAGAAAAGTAATGGCAAAACAACCTTCAAAAGTTGTCCAATACCTCCCATATCCATGGAAATCAGATGGTCATGTGAGGAACCAGCACTTTGAGTAGTTAATGAAGACAAGTTAGAACGAACAATAAAGTTAAATTCTATCAAGATTTGAAAATTTAAAATATAAACGAAGATGAGGCTGCAATATTATCAAGTGCAGGAAAAACCCAGTGACAAAGCTCCCCTCTACGGAGACTGCAGCGGCCCTGCCAGTGCCAGCCCCTGCAGTCCCACCAGGTAAGGCGGGAGCGGCGAACGCCCAGGTGCCAGGACCCACGAGTGGAGCGAGGCGCCGGGGGGCCAACGCCGCGGCTCTGGCCTCCCGGGCCAGGAAGGGCGCGCGGGCTTCAGCCTGCCCCGGGGCTGCAAAGCCCGCCCCGCGAGCCGCCGGACCGAGGGCTGGGCTGCAGGTGGCCGCCCGACGGCAGGAAAAACGCGCCCGCCCGCTCGCCTTCGCTGCCCTGACCACGGCCCGACGCCCACTCCCCGTCACCTTCTGGGCGCTGGAGCCACGGACCCGCCCTGCGCGGTCATAGACGTGGCAGCGGATCACCGAGCTGCCCACGTCCAGCCCCAGCACGAAGCCTGTGTGTGGGTGCGGCGCGATCCGCTCCGGGCTCCCCTGCTCCGGGATGGTGGGCCGCCCAGGCATCCCGACCGCCTGCCTCCGCCTCAGCCGCTAGCTCTGCGGGCGCCTTACAAACACCGGCACCGCAGAGACTCAGCGCGCCCCAGAGGCCGCCGCCCGGCCCGCCCCCTCCGCGCTCCCGGAGGCGGCCGGGCCCTGCCGCTGGCCCCGCCCCGACGCCGTGACGTCAGGCGGCGCTGGGAGCTTTCCGGGGTGCGTGCTCTGGGAGGCGGCTCTGTGGACGCCGCCGAGTGCGTGCAGGTGAGCAGGAACGAGGTGGAGCTCGGGGTCCTACCACCCACAGCCGGGTTCTCCAAAGGCCAACCGCTTTTAACCTTAACCCGGCCCTTAATTTTAAGGATCTCCCTCTTACGATCCTTGAGGTAGTGCCTGCATTTCTCTTAACCCTAGTTATATTTTATGAATCTCAATTAATACAAAGTGATCTGAAAAGAAATATAAAATTCGGCCGTACGTATTAATAAACTGAGAGTTTACCCCCAAGACTTCTCTCCCCAGATCTGATAAAGATTTCACATGCCACCAGGTTGAGTTAAAGGAGGTACCTCATACACAAAATGTAAGGAGGGATTCATTCTCAGCTTAATGAAAGTACATGAAGGTGAAACCTAGGTGCCTAGCTTGCTTCATCCTAGTTCCAGCCTTGCTTCTTGCTACATATTAGGAGTTCTGTGGTATATATTGGTCCCATGTGATGTATATTGGTCACTTGGTTAAGGTAGTGTCCACCAGATATTTTCATTGTACTATAATTCCTTTTATAATTAACTAGAGGCCTGGTACACAAAATTCATGCAGGGATGTGGGTGTGGGGGGTGTCCTCTTCAGCTCAGCCTGCACCTTCTCCAATTCGGGGACCCCTGGAGGGATGTCCAATTGCCAGTTTAGAGCCTGAACTGGCAGTCAGACATCCCTCTTACAATCCGGGACCACTGGCTCCTAACTTGCTTGCCTGACTGATCAACCCTAACTGCCCCCCTTGCTCCCATGGTCACCCCAAATTGCCCCTCCTGCTGGCCTAGTTGCCCCCAACTGCCCCCAGCCAGCCTGGTCACCCCCACCTTACCTCCCCCCCCACAACCAGCCTGGCAGGAAGCAACCCATCAATGTTTCTCTCTCATTGATATTTTACTCTTCCCTCTCTCTCTAAAATATCTATAAAACATGTTTTTAAAAAATCTGTGATACATATGCTAATTGCTACTGGATTAGCCTTGCTCTAAGTCCTATCATACATATCTATTCACTTCTACATTTATCTATGTAGCCATCCATCTATCTATTGTAAAACCACAAGTTTATACCTATTCCTCAGGATTCATTTCATCTTTCCCTTTTTCTGTACTTATAACACTCTGAGACCTTGTTTCCATCATCCATATGTACTTACACATTCAATCAAATTTAGGATATAAATTAATTAATTTTATGATTGTTAACCCATGTCTGTATGAAAAAAAGATGTCTACTATCTAGAGATCAAAATTTGCTAAGCCTGAGGGCAGACAGTGAAAAATTATGTGAATTAATCCAACCTCCACACCCCCCATTCCTGCTTTCTGTGTGGTTGCATTATTCACTTGAAATATCTTTCAGGTGTTTTTATTTGTTTTTATTTTTGGCTTGCATTTCACTTTAGGTTATCCTCCTAGGCTTATTGATTTATTTTTAGTGTATAAAATATTAACATGTTTCTAAGAATGAGAACTTTAGAAAAAGGCATACTCAGAGAATGTCATCCCCACGCACTGTTTGTAGATATGGGACTATTCCTAGACTATTTTGTTTTATTAATGTATGTGTCTGTTTTATCATGATGTTTTCATCATTATAGCCTTGTAGTGTAGTCTTATATCAGGTATCATGATACCTCCAACTTTGTTCTTCTTTCCTAAGGTTGCTTTGGCTAATGAGATTTTTTGCCATTTTATATAAATTTTAGGATTATATATTTTAGTTATGTGAAAACTATCATTGATATTTTGATAGAGATTGCATTTAATTTGTAAGTTGCTTTGGGTAGTATGGAAATTTTTAACAATGTTAATTCTTCCCATTCAATGTTGTTCTTCATTGCCTTATATTTTCCAAATACAAATACAGGTCTTGTACCTCCTTGGGTAAATGTATTCCTATCTATTTTTATGCAATTATTGTATAAATGGGATTTTTTAATTAATTTCCTTTCTGATAGTATGGTTTTTGTGTATAAAATGCAACTGGTTTAGAATATCAGTTTTATATTCTGCTACTTTACTGCATTCATTTATTAATTCTAATAATTTGGAGGGAATTTTTTAAGGTTCCGTGTATATATAGTATCCCATCATCTACAATGACAGTTTTACTTCCTCCTTTCAATTTGCATGCCTTTTATTCTTTTTCTTGCCTTATTGCTGTGGGCAGGACTTCCAATACTATGTTAAATAGAAGTGGTGAAAGCAGACACCCATGTCTTATTCCTGATTTAAAAAAGAACACTTTTAGCTTTTCATTCTTGAGTATGTTGGCAGTGAGTTTGTTATGTTGGCCTTTATTATGTTGAGTTGTGTTCCCTCTGTACCCATTTTGCTGAGAGTTTTTATCATAAATGGATGCTGAAATTTGTCAAACACTTTTTATGCATCTATCAATATGATCATGTGATTTTTATCCTTTATTTTGTTTCTGTGGTATATCATGTACCAATCTTGCATCCCTAGGATAAATACCACTTGATCATGATGTATGGTCTTTTTAATGTATTATTAAATTTGGTTTGCTGGTATTTTGTTGAGGATTTTTGCATCTATGTTCATTAGAGATACTGGCAGATCCTTTTCTTCTTTGTCTGATTTTGCAATCAGGGTAATGCAGACCTCATAAAATGAGATTGAGAGCCTTTTCTTTTCTTCAATTTTTAGAAATAGTTTGAGAAGGATAGATGTTTATTATTCTTTGACTATATGGTAAAATTCACCTGTGAAGCTGAATGGTCCAAAACATTTGTCTGATGGGAACTTTTTTATTATTGATTCAATTTCATTAGTAGTAATCAATCTGTTTAGATACTGTTTCTTCTTGATTCAGTCTTGAAACATACTATGTTTCTAGGAATGTCACCATTTCCTCCAAATTGATCAATTATTGGCATGTAATGGTTTGTTTTCTTACAATCCTTGGTATTTTCTATGTATCGGGTCTAGTAATAATTAATGTCGTTTTTTAACATTCGTTTAAAATCTTGCTTGGCGTTGACTTGTATTGACATAACCTTCAAACACGTGGTATCTACAGAACGTGTGAAGTGCAATTAACAAGTTTTGCTTGAAAAAGTTTGTGTTTGGTTTGGTTTTTGTTGCAAAACTAGGGCTAAGAAGATGGCGAATGAAGAGCATATTCAGCACTGCATGCTTTACGAGTTCCAATTAGGAAGAAAAGCAAGTGAGGCTGCAAAAAACATCTGTAGTGCTCTTGGTCAAGATGCAGTTAGCGCCAGAAAATGCCAGCGTTGGTTTGAGAAATTTCGCGAGGGAAATTTTTCGTTAGATGACAAGAGTGGTCGAGGCCGTGTGTCCAATTTTGATCAAGAAGCTCTTCAAGCTCTTTTGGTGCAAAATCCTCAAATTACCCAACAAGAGCTTGCAACAACTTTAAATTGTTCACAAAAAACAATTTCCAATCAATTGCGTGCACTTGGCAAAGTCCAAAAGTTTGGAAAATGGGTTCCTCCTGAGTTGACCGACAACAACCGTAATCAAAGAGTCACAATTTGCAATTCGCTCCTCTCTCGTCAAAACCGTTTGCCGTTTTTTGAGCAAGTTGTTACCAGAGATGAACAATGAGTGAAAAGGCGGCCTCAATGGTTGGACAAAAATGAGGCTCCGCAGCCCACGCCAAAACCTGACTTGCATGCGAAAAAAGTGATGTTGTGTGTTTGGTGGAATTTTAAAGGAATTCTTCATTATGAACTTTTACCATCTACCCAAACCATTACAAGTGCAGTGTATAGTGCCCAATTGGAAAGGTTAGCCCAAGCTTTAAGAGAAAAAGAACCCGCGCTGATTAATCGGAAGGGCGTAATTCTTCACCACGATAACGCACAACCGCATACTGCAAGAATCACTGCTGAAAAACTGCTCCAGTTGGAATGGGAAGTTCTCCCTCAACCTGCATATTCTCCTGATATTGCCCCTTCCGATTACCATTTGTTTCGTTCTTTGCAAAACTTTCTTCTTGGAAAAAAATTGAATAATGAAGAATGCCTCAAAAATGCATTGACCGAATTTTTTGCATCAAAATCACAAGAATTTTACAACAGAGGGATTAAAATGCTTCCTGAGCGTTGGGCACAAGTAGTAGAAAACAACGGGAACTATATTGTTGATTAAATTTTGTTGTATTGTTTAAATAAATTAGATTTAAAAAAGTATTAGAAAACGACATTAATTATTACTAAACCAATATTACTTATCACTTCTTTTTCATTTCTGATTTCATTTATTTGGGTTCTCTCTCTCTCTCTCTCTCTCTCTCTCTCTCTCTCTCTCTCTCTCTCTTTTTCTTGATGAGTTATGATTAAAGGTTTACCAATCTGAGAGGAATGGTGACATAAGAGATCTCTTGGGCTCTTCTCCTAAAGCTTTAATAAGTTAATCAATTTTAACTCAATAAAAGATTTCCTGCTGAATAGAGGCACATCTGAGAGACCCATGCATGAAAGCATCTAAAGGTGGGCAAATGGGAACAAATGGGGAGGTGACCAAGGAGGACAACTTGGACAGCCATGAATGCAGCCCTGCAGTCAGGAGCTGGCAGCTAGGTCAGCCTGGAGAGGGGATGAAGCTGGGGCTACCAGGCACTTCCACTGGGCAGGAAGAACAGAGTCTCAGTAGGCAGTCTATCAGGGTAAGAAATCTATCAGTGATTGAGCCAACAAAGACAACTGTGTAAGCACATAGAACAGGGGTTCTGCCACATGGCTGTCTGTGTTTCAGACAAAGAAATGGAACCACAAAGCCCTGCTACCCTTTGGGCTCCCAAAACTTGTTTCCCATGTATAATCACAGTACTAAGGAAGCTCAGAAAGAAAAAAAATCTCTAAAAAACAATCCTAATATATAAAAACTCTGAGTCTTAGT